AACCATACTTATCATCACTTAAACATTAATCTCTAAACCATTTAATTATTATTTTTATTTAAAGAGTCATTGTTTAAACCCCTTAAGTGTCACCGTCCCACAGGTGGGACGTTTGCCACTATATATTTAAAACAATAATATCTTAGTAAAAACCTAAAGTAATATTGACAAACTATATATCATTTGAAAGCTTAAAATCTCTACTTTTCAAATTTGGTGGCTGTTTTCTAAAATAAATTACAGAGGAGCAGTAATTTATCAATTTGCAACAAGAATATTTCATATTCATTAGGAGTATTTAGGCCTTTATTTTGAAATAGCAATAAACATGAAAAATTATGAAAATTTGGTAGAAACCTCAGTTTGTTTTCATGCCAAGAGTTCAAAAGATAACACCAATTCCATTTTATGAGAAAAAAAGGTCTGAAAATGTTTTAAATATAAAGAAAAATATTATGTATTCTCGATTTGTGATGTGGCTGCGAGCTATAATGCACATATGTGGTCTTTTTTATGCATTTATTAGAGGTTTAATTCAAATCAAATACTGCCAAACCACCCATACTACTTCTGAATAGGATGTCTACTTCATAAATTGTATGAAAATTATGGAAATACATGGTTCAGATCACTCAAAACATATATGAAAATGGAGGCGCCCTTATATGGGCAGTAATGGAGTCTGGTGTTCACCTAGTGAAAAAGTTGGGTACTGCGCCCGAATAAAATCTTACTGTAAACTCATTTTTTGAGATATCAACCTAAAATTTGGAACACAACTTGTTCAGATTTTTGGCTTTAATTTCCTTGCAGTTTTAGAGTAAAATATGTTTTGTAATATATATATTTTATATAAAATATTAATAATTATATTTTTACATTAAATAATTTCATAAACTTAAACTTATATAACTTTTTTTCTGTTTCATTTTTAATAATTTCTACACTTCTACAATAATCTGGAAAATGTCTGGAAAAAAACAAGACCAACCATAGGTCAATATTCCAAAGCATTCTTGAATTACAACCATTTAAGTTTGGATAATGATTTTTATGTCTATGCGAAAAAAGGGGGGGTGACAGTTATGGGGTTAATAATGTCTACATCATAGATGTACATCTTCATCATAACCTATAGGTCAATTGGTATCATTCAGTCTTGATTCATATTCATATGTTGCTATTATGACATCACTTCAATTCGTAAATAATTTATTTGATTCATTGAACTCTATATAGTGTAATTCATAAGTAGTTTTTTTTTGTCCGGGATCGTCTTATTTGTTTAATCCGTAATTATTCAATTGTTAACTAGTCCGAATGCATAGGCTATATTTGATTTAGCATTTTGACACTTAATAATTCCCCTTAATAATATGCATCATTATTCGGGTCAAGCTAATTTGTTTTCAGAAACTCATCAGTCAGTTGTTCTTTCTTTCTTCTGAGAGAATGAACTGCAAATGTAACCAGGACAGAGCGAGAAGTGTAAAACCGTGCAGCAGAACGACAGGAGGACGAGCCGATCACAGATCACAGCTGGAGACACCCAGGATAGCAAGGTGACACTGACTAAATGTTGAAATTCCACTAGAAATAGAATCATCATTGTAGTTGAGGTTGAAAATTCGATGCTAAATAATATTGGATCAATGTTGAAAAATCAATGTTAAAATAACATTGAATTCTCAATATTGATTCAGTGTTGAAAAGACAAACATTGAATCAATGTTGTACACACGCTTCTCAGTGAGGAGAAGACGGCTGGCCTTCAGACCGAGTCTCAAAGAAGAAATCACAGCGGACCAGCAAGAGAATAAGAGCTCTGAGATCTGATGAGAAACCATCACAGAAGAGTCTAATGGAGGAATCCGAGCTGCTGGGAACTCTGGGATCGATCACAAGGACTGTCTGTGAGAGACGTCCTACAGTCACACGAGCTACACAGAAAGCATGTTATGAATGTGATTTTTTTTTCAAGAAAAGAAAAGTTCTGCACAGCTGTCATTGATGTGATCTTTGAAGAACACATGTATTTTGAAACAAAGTCATTTGTAACATTATCAAACGTCTTTACTGTAAATGTAACGCATCCTTGGTGTACATAAAACATTTGAATGTTGGTGTATGATGGCATTTGCAGCACAACTGGAATATGCAATCAGCAAATTGATTGATTGTCAATATGCGCCCATAGACAGTAAAAGAAATATGCGCCAGAGAAACGAGGGCGCCGCCATCTTTAGAGTATTGTCTTTGAACTTCCGTTTTTGCGGTCGCTCTGTATAGAGGGGTTTCACCAACGTCACGTTCTGGGCGGTAACCCGGATGCGCGGCCATTATGGAGGCACTCGGATGTAAACAACAGCATGGATTGCACTGTTCATGTACTACTGAACACATTGTTACACTAATAAACCACGGAAAAAACACGTGGTAGGTGCGAAATCATATAGAGAATGACTTGGGAAGCAGGACAGAGCGAAACATTTTGACAAACTAAAGTTAATATGTTTTATGTGGTCACATTATGTGGTAGCTGCTAAAGATCCGAACGAGTTAGCTTCTCTAGCACGTAACATTACTGCAATTCTTCCATCTATTTATTATCCCGAAATAAGATACGTTCAGATTGTCAGTCCAAAAAAGCACATGAAATTCGTTTCAAGTTACATCCATATGTGGTTTGAAATCCTATTCAAATCACATATCAGGACATCAGCCTCAGTCTGAACGCTCGGATTTCGCGTGGTATGTCTTAAAATGCAAACGTAGTTTATAGGAAACATGCTGAAAGTCACTGCCGAAACAATGCTGTGTTGTTGCAAAGTGCCGGACGAGCAGAAAAATATTATTTCTGAAACCGGCGCAGACGAGCGTGGGAAAAAAGCAGTAGCTAACGTTATATACCAGCCTCCAACAGTTCTGCCGTAGTAGTCCAGCACGGCGGCTACACATTTCCATGTTGTAACATTTAAAAAAGACAACATCTAACATTATATTGCAAATGCAACCCCTCCATCAACGCAAAGTCATTGCCATATTACCAAATAACATGCATGGACACACACGTCGGATCTGAACAGTTGCGATACACAGTGTGGACATCATTTTAGATCAGATTCCAATTTGATACAAAGATAATCGGATTTGGACTGACAGTGTGAATGTAGCCATAGTTAACATTAACTGCGTCGACATTTTAGCCATAGTCAACGCTTCATTTACATGTGTCTGATGCTGTACCTCTCTCAACCACAAACGCCTTCTTTCATCAGTTTTTTGCACTCTTCTCTTTAACTTTTGACAGTCTATAGCACTCGACATGTTTTTTCCCGATGTGACCGATTGGTACAGACAAAAACTCGACCATTTTTCAGCAGCAATAATCAGCCAAATTTGCGAGTCCATTCAGTTCAGTGGCATTATTCACGTTCTGTGCCTCCAAAATGGCCGACTTCCGGATTGATGACGCGTCGTGAAACCCCTCTATATCTCTATGGCATCGCTGTCCAGGAGTAATTAGCTGGTGAAGTTGATTTACTTATTGTAGAGTTTTAACGAACGTTATCATGAGCATTGTAATGTTTATGATAAGCATTGTAAAGCATATGTCTTAACAAATGGACCTTGGGAATTTTTTAACGAGCCGTTCATTCATAACTACGCAAGATCGCTGTGAAAATACAGACCGGAAGTCAAAAGACAATGAGCTCAGCGCGGAAAAGGGGCGTGGCGACATAAGGTCTATAGATCAAATGTTGTCTCATGTAGTGTGTGTGTGTGTGTGTGTGCGCGCAGTGTTTCAGCAACAGAACCAACCGCTTGTCTGAAGATTATATAATCATTCTGGAAGAGAAATGTATATATTTTGACAACACAATATTCAGTTGAAATGATGCAGAAAAGCAGCACATGCGAGCAGAGGAAGAAGCGCAGGCGGACAAACAGTGGAGATTATAAATCAGTGACGGGAAAACACTGAGAACCGGTTCAGGAAGACATGAGGGCGAATAAACAATGACAGATTTTCCATTTCTTTCACATTCATAAGAAAAAGAACAAGAGCAGTGGCTTCCGATTAATGTCAAATCTACGCATGAATAATGAATCATACCCGTTGCTTTCATAAAGTCATTTTATTATTTCAGTGGTTAAAATCATAAACGTACTGGCCCAGAAACAGCGCCTGCTTAAGATTGTTTTCTGTGCAGCTTCATCATTTACAATAAAAAAATCAACATTAAAAACCAAATCTGTCTTTCTTGGAATACAAATAACATACAATGTAAAAATGAAGTCCGTAGTGTACCATACACATATTTTTTTATTAAAAAACCCCCCAAAAAATGATAGCGTTGTTTGTAAAAGTGCATTCTGGCACTTGGAGGGAAAACTGCTCACCTCAACCCAAGCCTAACCATACGAACAGAAGAGCTTTACTGTAGAAGAAGATAAAGCACAGTGCAGGTCTGCCGGAGTGTGTCAGCTCGCCGTCCTGAAGCGCATTAGCCCTTATTTAGTAAAAACATGTCGTTTACACACACACACACACACTGGGTTATGAAGACACGCGTGCTGAAACAGCTCACCCTCACAGGAATGAACCGCGTTCAACATTACATCACACTCTTTGTTCGGATGCTTTTCTGAAGTTCTGGAATTAAGTCCAAGCGATGGGAAAGTTCGGTGGATACACACTTCTGTGTGAGTGTGTGTGTGTGTGTGTTTAAAATTGACACCACCTGAGCTGCCACACGTATAAAAGTATCAATATTCACAAGCAACTATACAAGAATTTTTAAAAATCATCAGTAGGTCCAAAAATGCCGGGGCTCCATGTGTCACCGAAAGAAAGAAATGCACCCAGAAAATAAAAAAATAGAGCATATATATATATATAAATGTCATATTTCTATATTAAAGATTCCGCTAAGACTTGTAGTGCACTAGCTATGGTCAGAAAGCGAGTGAAAAGCACCGGATGCGAGGAGTACGTGTGTGCTCTCTCTGAAGGTCTCTATAAAGGAAGGCACTGGTTCCTGACGCGGATGAACACGCTGGACATGGGAAAGGGCTCTGGTGTTCCCGGGAGAAAACAGGGAGGAATGGCTCAGCGGGACACACACACACACTGGGGAGGAGACATCTCGGAGAGACAGCGGTCACACAGACGTGCTGGTCACGCGCTCCACAGCATTATTGACCTCGTTTTTGTTGGAGTCCAGGCCTTTGGCGGCGATCATGTCCTTGCGGATGTTCTCGGCCACTTTCTTCATGTTCTTGAGCTCGCCGGGGTGAGGAGTGGCCCGTCTCAGCAGCGTCCTCTGAGGAACACACACACACACACACACACAGAACATAAAGATGAGGACGACATTGCATTGGCTATTCACCAGGCTTGAGCAAAATTCAGAAGTTCAGAATTGAATTGACTCCGCCCCACAGGAAGTTGAATTTGAATTGGAATGACAGGAAGTGGAATTAAACTCATGGCAATTCAAAGAAATTCCACACAGTCTCACAACAGAACGAATGTGTTGAAGCTCACACACACTCAGTGATAGGAAGGTTACTTTGGACATGTAATTGCTCACTGTTAGAAGTTATCCATTATAAATGTGGTTTGGATTACTTTATCAATGGAAAGCAATTTCCTTTTAACTTGATAAGTAACTAATTGAATAATTGATGTGTGTGTGTGTGTGTGTGTGACTGGTGTTCAGAGGGATATGTGTGTGTGTCGCCCTCAGGTGTTCAGAGGGATGTGTGTGTGTGTGTGACGCCCTCTGGTGTTAAGGGGGATGTGTGTGTGTGTGTGTGTGACGCCCTCTGGTGTTCAGAGGGATGTGTTTGTGTTTGTGTGTGTCGCCCTCAGGTGTTCAGAGGGATGTGTGTGTGTGTGTGTGTGTGTGTGTGTGTGTGTGTGTGTGTGTGTGTGTGTGTGTGACTCTGGTGTTCAGAGGGGTGTGTGTGTGTGTGTGTGTGTGTGTGTGTGTGTGTGTGTGTGTGTGTGTGTGTGACTGGTGTTCAGAGGGATGTGTGTATGTGTCACCCTCAGGTGTTCAGAGGGATGTGTGTGTGTGTGTGTGTGACTGGTGTTCAGAGGGATGTGTGTGTGTGTGTGTGTGTGTGTGTGTGTGTGACGCCCTCTGGTGTTCAGAGGGATGTGTGTGTGTGTGTGTGTGTGTGTGTGTGTGTGTGTGTGTGTGTGTGTGTGTGTGTGTGTGTGACGCCCTCTGGTGTTCAGAGGGATGTGTGTGTGTGTGTGTGTGTGTGTGTGTGTGTGTGTGTGTGTGTGTGACGCCCTCTGGTGTTCCGATGGAGCATTTACTGCCGATCAGCCGCTGCACTGACAAACTGCGCATAAAATAATCTCAGCCTTTGTCAAATCCCGTGCGGTCTCTGCGATGAATCGCGCAGCGCGACTCGTCAGTAAACAAGCTTTAGAGCGTGATATGCATCATTTAGCAGAGCCTCTTCCTCACCTCGTCATCCTCCTCGTCGTCGTCGTCCTCCATGAAGCGGATGGTGCTCATGCGGTTCAAGGCTTTGTCGTCCCAGGTGTCGTCCAGTATCCCACTCTCCACGAGACTCTCCAGCGCACCGCAGCGCGCCAGGTTATCCGAGCCTGCACACACACACACACACACACACACCTTTAGGATCAAACACATCCTCTTCTCTAGTGGTTGTTCAGAAAAACACAAATTATTGCATTTATTTCTTCAGAAAGACACATTGAGGAGTTTATACTGCAGTGAAAGCCCTCTGTGAGATCACGTTTCAAATCTTCTGTGACCTCACACACACCCCAACATATCAGCTCTTCACAGGAAGTGATGTCACATTTAATGGCTGAACAAAGAGACACGAGTCACTGGATGAACCAGACACTCCTTTTCCGCGCTGAGCTCAAAGTAACATCACAACTCTTTATTTTAGTGCCCTTCTTAGTATAAATTATAAACTTACTATAAAGTATGCATAATTACATGAAACTAATGCTAAACCAAACCCTAACCCTTTAGTAAGTACATGTAGTTATGTTATATCACTCAGTACTTATATAATTACACTGTAACAGACACCTTAAAATAAAGTGTAACCAAAATTTTTAAATAAAAGTTTGAATAAAACATTTGATCAAATGTATTCAAGCTTTTCTGATTAAAATAAATATATTTTATGATAATATTTTGTTTTTACTTCCCCTTCAAGTTTAATTGAAAATATTAGGGATGCGCGATATCGGCCGATATATGTTCATTTTTAATGTTATCGTTATCGGGCCGATAAGAAAATTTGCCTGATATATTTAAGCTGATAAATAATGCTTTATTTCCTTCAGCGGAGACGCTTCAGATGCACACTGTTCAAATTGCTTGAAATATGATTGGAATCTGTCACACTTTTGCGTGCAATTTTTGTAATCAGGCTCTCAAAAATCATAGAAAGATTTGGATTTAGATTTATCGGCCAACATATCGACTGTCAAATATAGAGAATTATCAGTATTTTGTATCAGCCACAATTTTCATATCCGTGCATCCCTAGAATTTTTTTTTTTTCGTGAAGAAAGAACAAAACTTGGTTATGGTATTTATCTGACAAAATGATTTGGCAAAAAAAGGTAAACACAGCTACAGGTTTTTATCTTACTATGCAAAAAAAAAAAAAAAAAAAGCATACATTGACAATCAATAATTCATTTTTCATTGATCATCTCTAGTTTTTGCATGCGTTCATAGTTTCTTTGTGTGACAACCTGGCCAAAAATCAAATCCGCATGTTATTATCACACATAAAACAATCCACTCCAGAGTCCAGGCACAACTGCGCAATACACTTGAACTTGATGTATAAATGAAAAGATGTCAATTTTCTTTGGCTGGAAATAGAAATTTTTTGTAACACTGTCAATGCCTTTACCGTCACTTTTGAGGATTTTAATGCATCCTTTCTGCATAAAAGTATATATATATATATATATATATTTTTTTTTTTTTTAATCAACAACATACGTTAGTGTTTGTTTTTAAATAAATACATTTTATATATATTATCTTTCAAAACACATTATAGGAGCTTAATCGTACAAATCAAACGAAACTCGTGTTGCACGTACAACTTCTTGACATGAAGCCGTGGGTTCCTCATCAGGAGAGAGAGGTTAAAGACTTCAGGAAAGGCGAGCTTCAGTGGCAGTGCGATAAGATATGAGATATGAGATATACATATAAGATATGGCTGAGGGAGTGTCTGAGGAGATAAGCCTCTTTAATCGTCCAATCCGCTGCAGTGTGGAGAAGGCAAGGCAGAGATATCAAGACCTGCTCCACACACACACACACACACACACACACACACAGGACCGGCGCCAGATGAAAGCAGAACATTACTCCCAAAAACCTCGGATTATTCTTGCCGATAAACTCTGCAGATCACGACCATCTATCCATGCCTGGAAAGTGTTGTAGTGTTGGCTGGAATGGACATTTTCTACATTTAACATTTCCCTACCTAAGTTTGATAATTTATCTGCTATGTTATGTTTATGACAATTTATGATGTATTGGTTTATGTCAAGTTGTCATAACAAAGACATCTCAAACAATGTCATATTTGCATTAAAAATGTCATAATTGAGCGAATGACACTTAATGACAGTTATCATAAACATGCATAAAACATCCTTCATATTCATGACACGACACATGATTATGAAGGTGTTATGTCAGTCTTATGCACACCCCTTCAAGTAAAGTGTTACCAAGCATCTAAATGTCACTTTAAAGATGAATTTTGTTGATACTGATTTAATTTGATTGCTGTGTCTTATTATTCTAATAGAATTTGATTTAATGTAAGAATTTGACAAACAATAAAATTATGCATGCATTTAATTAGGTTAAAAAATTGCTTTATAAAAGGAAAAAAACGCCCATAAAAAGGTAAAAATATATTTAATCTTATTGGAAAAGAGGATTTCTGTCACTGCTGCGAACTGACCATCACTCAGAAAATGAAGAATATCTCAAACTTTAGGAGTCTCAGTTTTTGGCACAAAATATTTAGTCCTAAAGTACCAACAAAAACACACTCTGCAAAATATCGTCTAATTATAGTTATCAATACAATCCCAGAAACATTGATATATCATGTTTTTGTCAATATCGCACACCCCTATGATACATTCATTTTGAGAAAGTACCTCGACAAGCATATGAAACTCTTTCGTCCCTAAAAAACAAGGAAAATATCTACAAATGAAAGATCTCCCATCCCTAAAGCAAACCTATCCAAACTCTATTGGAGTCAATCTTCATTTATACAGCGCTTTTAACAAAATAGACTCTTTCAAAGCCGCTTTACAGTGATATAGGAGATTACAGTAACAGAGATTGTTTAGGCTTTACAGCAGCTCTAGAATAAAGTTATTATCCAGATAAAGTTGGGTTTGATCGATTCACTTCCGTTGCAAAGATCATCAGTTATTAACTTAGGGTCCGCCGTTCCCTATAGTATAGACTTTTGCACAACAACAGTGTCTGGCGGCTCGAGAACGCAAACCTTGAAATAGGGTCCAAGGTGCAAGCGTTGAAGAAGTTTGAAAAACGTTATCATCTCCGCGTAAACTTAAAAACCGCGAGTCTGTGGGAACGCTGACGGCGTCCACGTGCGTATTATGTGTTTAGTCTATACACCTTATGCGCCAGAGAAACGAGGACGCCGCCATCTTTAGAGTATTGTCTTTGAACTTCTGTTTCTGTATATCTCTTTGGCAGCGCTGTCCAGGAGTAATTCGCTTTTGAAGTGGATTTACTTAATGTAAAGTTAACGAAAGTTATCACGAGGATTGTAATGTTTAATGCAGATGTCTTAACAAATGTCAGTCGACCGGGAAGATTTTAAAACGAGCCGTTCATTCATAAATACGCAAGATCGCTGTGAAAATTAGACGACGAGCGCAGCGCTGAAAAGGGGCGGAGCTACAGAAGCTCTATAGGTATGTGCATTTGAACTAGGGCGGTCACTTTACGTTCGAAAATCGATTGCACAATCGATCGGACGTACCAACACAAGTTTCGAAAACGAAAATAGGGAATCGATTTGAACGGCCTTTTTTTTTTCTTTTTTTTTTTTACAAAAATGTGTTTTAGATGGACAGATCAACACAGCACACAGAATAGATGCTGGAAAATAACAATGTCTTTTCTGTTCACCAAATGCTTTTTAATATTCGATATTACTTCAATGCAAGTGAACGAGCGCGCCGATATCTGTTGCTCAGTGACGTGTGTGTGTGTTCAAGTAAGCCAGAAATGAGCAGATTCTGCAATACGCTGTATTTAATATATCATGAGGATCACGAGTTGCGTATTTGCGCTAAATTGTCTTACACGAACTTCCCCAGCGAAGTAAACACAGAGACACGCCAGACTGGCTCGTGATTTGACAGCGTTTCCCGCCAAAGTTCATTTGTACCTGCGTTTGGCGGGTCGAGGGTGTTAATCTCAATCCCTGAATGTTGCGCTCCTGTTTGTCATTGTGCTGAAACTTCACGCCAATAAATCATCAGGAATATTGCTGACTTGTGCGTCTCAAGCCTCTTTACGCTCGTCCTAATGCCTGTTAGGTGTCCGTGGATTTGCCTGTATTTGGTGTTGAAAATGGAAACGTCTTTAGATGGAGAATCGATTTTACAATCGATTCAATGAACACTTATGTCTCAAAAAACGAACAGGTTTTCTTTAAACAAAAGTGACAGCTCTAGTTTGAATATATATGTGTGTAGGCGTGTAGTCTTTCTTTATAAATATATCTGAAGAAATTACTTGTCTGGCCTTAAAAATTCATAATACAGAATTTTTTGTCACTTCCGCGTATCCATGTGACCTGGAATCATTTTGACAACGTTGTATCAGTACAGCGGAGAAGGGAAGGAGGTCTTCACAGGGAGAGACTTCAGGACTTGAAGTGACATTTTCTGCACATTACTCCACATAAAGAGTCAGTGTTGAGCACACATGTCAGAGCTGTACCTGTGTGGTCCGGCTCGCAGGGCTGCTGAGGCAAGAGGACGCAGGTCAGGACCTTCTCTCCGGACTCGGGGTCCACATCCGTCTGGAAGGTGAGCAGGGGTTTGGACTGGTTCTCCGACAGCCAGAGCGCTTTGAGCCGGAGAGTCGTGAGCGTCAAGGGCAGGTAGAGCAGCCTTCACACACACAAGTTTCCAAGTTAAATTCGCAACTTTGGGTGTAAACTAGCTACTAATGACTGAATTTTCATTTTTGGATGAAGTATATCTTTATCATATATCATATACCACTGTGGCTTTATGTTTAGCATTTATCCCAGTCCAACTGACTTCCGCTGTGAATGCGTGACCATAAGTTATATGAGTTTTGGTCCCACTTTATATTAAGTGGCTTTAAGTACAATGTACTTACATCGAAAAATAAGTACAATGTACTTATTGTGTTCATGTTGTATTGTAAAACAGTTTTCCTGCTATTGAGGTGTGATACGGGCAAGGTTAGGGACAGGTGTGTGTGGTATGGGTTGATAAAGGTGTAAAGAGAGGGTCAACGGTGTAATACGCCTACAGTCTTCATCAAGCCCCCTGATGAGACGAGTGTGCTCTGACGAACCTGTTTCCCGAGACGTCGAGCACGTGCAGATCCGCGGCCTGCGAGAGCTCAGGAGGGATTCGGGTCAGCCGGTTCTCTCTCACACACAGGACGTTCAGACTGCAACAGCCGCCGATCTGAGACACAGCAGAAACAACATGAGCAAAGGCCCTGATAATAATGATAATAATAATGATAGCAGGACAATGACTGAGAAGACAGACAGTACAGAACCCAATAAAATGAACACACTGAGGCCTTGTCCACACTAATATGTTTCCGTTTGAAAACGCATCTTTTTCTCTCTGTTTTGGCCTTTTGTCACACATAGACAACGTTTTTATTAGGGATGCACGATGATATCGGGACAACATCGGTATCGGCCGATAAAAGCTTAAAATGACCATCATCGGCATCGGCCGATATGAATATTTCTGCCGATGAGCCTTGCCGATAGGGTGGCGTGTTTCCTATGCGCACGTGACGACCGTGAACGAAGCATGAGCGCCAGCAACTTAAACTTCCAACTAGGGGTGTGCGTCTCACGCGGTTTTTGATCGTGGACGATTAAAATGTCTCCACGATCTGCTTTTGAAGAAAAATCAGAGTATCGTGCATTCTATCAGTTCAATTCTGGCGCCTTCATCTCAACATACTGTACAACGCGACGTACATTCACATCACATCACGCAGAGGTAGAGTTACACTCACGGGACACCGCAATTCACAAAAGTTCATTATTTGCATGTGCGTCAAAGTCTTGCTAGGTAAACATGTCATTCACGTGCTGATGCGCTGTTCTAACATCCGCTTTACTGAGCGCGGACACCCGACGCTCACAGGAACTAAAGCCTGTCACAGCGCCTGCATACTGGACTAATCTTTCGAGTCTTATTGCGCTGATACTGTCAAATACACACAAGGTTTACATAAACAAAGTTGGTTATGTCTAAAGTGAAAGCAAACAGAGAAAATCTGCTTGTCAAATGCGTGTATATTAGACGTGTCGCGTGCAGTTCTTAAAGAGACAGTAATAATATGCTGCCGCTTGTCCTAAAGAGATACTGCACCCAGAAATACAAATTCTGTCATTATTTACTCACTCTAATGTTGTTCCAAACCTGTATTCATTTCTTTCTTGTGCTTAAATATATACGATGGAAGTCACTGAAGTACAGCAACTGTTTGGTTAGCCACATTCTTCCAAATAACTTTTTATTTTCAACAGAAGAAAGAAACTTGAGAGAGTAAATGATGACAATTTAAATTTTGGGGAGAACTATCTCGTTAATGTTAATAAAACAACAAAACACAGAGGAAATCACTCACTGCTCTTGACTGAGAACTTTAATAGAAGCTTTAATAAGCTTTTTTTGCACTTAAAAAAAAAATACAAATATATCGGTATCGGGCAAAATTAGTTTGAAAATATCGGCATATCGAATATCGGCCAAAATCCTATATCGTGCATCCCTAGTTTTTATTAATGAAAAATGAATAGAAGCTTTTTGAAAACGCTTTCCAAAGTGGATAAACTTGAAAACAGCGTTTTCGCGTTGTATATGGACTGTGAAACCGGAGGAATTTAAAAAAGATGACGTAAGTTTAGTCATGTGACGCATATTGAACCCATAGATATTCATGTTTATACCGGTTATATTATGTGCTGTTCACTTTCACACTGTTGCTAAAATATGTTACTTCACACACTCTTCATATCACAGTCCAGCAAAGATGACAGAAAATTCACTCACATGAGAACCGTTTTAGATCAAACATATAATGGTGAGTGTGTGTGGACGCTTCAGTGAATTATTTTGCTAAATAAAATGATCCTGCCAGAAGAATTGCACAATATCTTTAGTATTTATTTTTCAGTCTGTATCATCTCAGTGAGCTTTTAGCGTTTTCAGGTGTTTTTAAACGTTTCTCATCCACACTGAAACGCCTGAAAACGCTAGTGTGGACGGAGAGCGTTTTTAAACGAAAACGGCGTTCTCAAATGTCTCCGGATTAATGTAGACGAAGCCTAAGGGTACATTTTCACGACAACGATGTGCTTACAACGGAGACGTTTTTCCTATGAGTTTTCTGCGCACAGACGACACCATCGTCAAAACGATCCCCGTTCACACGGATCCGCGAAAACGACTAAAAGCGCTGTATTCTGCTGCCAGGCCAGTAGATGGCGATGAAACACTGTAGACTGAACACGTGATACGCATGTGCATGACGTCATCGTCTTCAGAGATTCCTGTTTTTTGTTGTTTACATGGAGACCGGTTTCAAAAACTTGCACTTTGAAACCCGTTTTCATGTAAATGAACGGCCAAAATGCATTAAAGGTTTTACCTTTTTTGGTGAAAACTGTGTCGTGTAAACGGACCCGAAGCCAACAGGGCTAAAATCAGAAGCAATTAGCAGCGATCTCAACGAGAGTTAATGTGCAGATAAAAGACAATGAAAGATTTTGAATGAAAACAATGGATTCCTATGGAGAGATTCAAACATTCGCCTGCCGATGAAGCGTTTCTTTTTCTTTGTCGATTGGCAAAGTTTTTCTTCGTCGGCCCGTGAAACTTTCCAGAAAATAAGATTTGAGCCTTGATGTTTGAAGGTACTGACACACTGAAGATTAAGGCCCGTTCAAGAACGATAACTATATTCCACACCAATGCACACTATCGTTCTGTTTATTATAAGCATGAACTTCAGTTTTGTTGTCCGCAGCTTTAAACGCTCGAGCTCTTTGAAGTAGGATGGATTCTGATTGGCTGTTAATGTTTTTATTTTTCATCAGCTGGAAAAAATCCTTATGAAAGTGATTCCAGTGATATTGTTCCTCTGTCGTTATTGTTAAAGCTGTGGGGTAGAATCGGCTATTCTTTTAAAATCAGAATGATCTTTTAAAACGTTATCGTTATCATCCTTGGTGTGAACGGGCCTTTATGCTAACATAAGAGCACAATGGTCAATAATACTAATTTATTATTAAAGTCCCCCTGTAGTCACTCATTTCAACCCTTAAAACTGATCTTTGATCACCAAAATTACATATTTAAAAAATTATATATATTCATGCCTTAAAATATCGTGAATGTAACTCGACACCCTTGCCTCATTTAGTATTCGCGGTTCTATGAATATGCAAATGAGCCCCGCCTCCACTCACTCCCTCAGCTCAGAGACTGGTTGACGATCACACGTTGATCTGATTGGTTACAAGGTCGTTTGTGACGTCAGAAACACCAGCGATTTCAAACCGTGTTTTTGAGACTGTCTTTGGTTCACTGCAGTTTTAAGCAGAAAATACTCAGCAATGCTGTCGACTTATGAACTTACACATGGTGTGTCTTAAAGCATATTAAAAACACCACATAGACACATAAACAACATTAAAAGCTTGAGTTTCACCACAGGGGGACTTTAACAATAGCTGGAATTAACATTTTACTTCATGCTGGCATTTTAGAGGCATAACTACTAATGAAATGGTACTAAACTGATCCCAGATAACAAAATCACTTTATATTTTAACTGCACGATTAATCATATTTCAATTCTGATCACAATCATTCCTGCTTCTCTCGATTAAGCAATAATATCTGCAAAAATGTCCAGCTAGTTGAGCTCAAATAAACCTTGTGTAATAAGTTGACCTTCTGTTGATTTGTGGAATAATTCTGAAGAAATGAAAGAAAAAATAAATTTCCAAATGAGAACATAGTGATTAATAATCTGATATAGCTTGAAGATGAAATAATATGAGATGACCACATTTTGCTGGCTTTTGTGCCTGAACCGTTGTGTGAGGTCAGAGAGGTCACAGCTGAGCAAACGCTCTCAGAGAACAAGCTGCCTCATTCATACAAAGCCATTGTTTAAACAAGACAATAACATTCCTCAAATCTCGTTCAGATTCCACCATGAAAAACCCTTTCAGAATAAGAAATGAGGGTTTCTCAAGAACATACGACACTTGAGGGCCGTTGAAGAAGACACAAGAGGCAGAACAGTAACACAAAGAGCCGTGTGTTTGTCCATGCCGAGACATGCCACAATAACACACAGTACTACAGTTTGTACAAGCAGCCAAAGTCATGTGACTGGAGTCATGTGACCTGTGATGGCATGTTGCCCCAGGACAGTATGCTAATAACACTGACTGACCTGAGGTGTGGTGTCACTGAACTGGATTAGGCCCTGAAACTGGATTTGCTGGTTAGGAGGTGTAAGGATTACCTGTCATTAGACCAATGAAAGCAGCAGGGTCACGATCGGATGAGTCGACATGTAAACCAAAGCACTCGTGACACACACACTCGCACACCAGAGGGAGATTTACTGGAGTCAACACACGCATGTGCTATTGCTCCAAGCAAGAGGCAAAACAGAGTTGAGAGAGTCTTAAAGAGGACATCTTATGCTATTTTAAAAGCTTTTTATTTTGTTTTAGAGGTCTCCTCCAATATTTTTACATGTATGTATGCATGTATATATATACACTCACCTAAAGGATTATTAGGAACACCATACTAATACTGTGTTTGACCCCCTTTCACCTTCAGAACTGCCTTAATTCTACGTGGCATTGATTCAACAAGGTGCTGAAAGCATTCTTTAGAAATGTTGGCCCATATTGATAGGATAGCATCTTGCAGTTGATGGAGATTTGTGGGATGCACATTCAGGGCACGAAGCTCCCGTTCCACCACATCCCAAAGATGCTCTATTGGGTTGAGATCTGGTGACTGTGGGGGCCATTTTAGTACAGTGAACTCATTGTCATGTTCAAGAAACAAATTTGAAATGATTCGAGCTTTGTGACATGGTGCATTATCCTGCTGGAAGTAGCCATCAGAGGATGGGTACATGGTGGCCATAAAGGGATGGACATGGTCAGAAACAATGCTCAGGTAGGCCGTGGCATTTAAACGATGCCCAATTGGCACTAAGGGGCCTAAAGTGTGCCAAGAAAACATCCCTCACACCATTACACCACCACCACCAGCCTGCACAGTGGTAACAAGGCATGATGGATCCATGTTCTCATTCTGTTTACGCCAAATTCTGACTCTACCATCTGAATGTCTCAACAGAAATCGAGACTCATCAGACCAGGCAACATTTTTCCAGT